CCCCAGTGTGTGTCTGGGCCTAAGAGGACAGACACCACACACTGTGTGACACTGTGAGAACTTTAGGGATGTCTGGGAATTTTGAGTTATCAAAGGAAGCAGAAACTGCAGCTGAGCTCACCCCATTCATGGCACTTTCTGAGCAAACATTCCCAGGATTCACATCCATCAGCTCCTGCATTCATTCCCTGGCACACCCCACTGGGGCATCCCAACCCCCTGCAGCAGGCAGAAGTCTTGGCAGTGATTTTCTGACTTGGACAAAGAAGTTTTTGTTTGCTACTCACCTGTTCACCTTTTGCTTTAGGGACAACTCTTTTATCTTCCATGTCACACTTGTTTCCTAACAGCATCCTCTCCACATCCTCGTTGGCATGCTGGAAGGACACAGGGACAGGGTTACAGGGTCACACATGTCCCCCTCACACCCAAAATATCTGCTTCCCTGTGGTGTGGCCAGGCCACCACCTGCACCTGCAACCTGGGGACATTTACAGCTGCCCTCAATGGGGCTCCATGCACTGCACAGGCAGAGGAACAAGCTGTTAATTAACCCCAGCCTCTAATGACTTCCTAGCACTGGTTAATGGTTTTTTCCTCCCCACTTTGTCACTGCACAATGTGAGGGATGAGCCAGGGGAGAAAAAGGGATTGGGGAGGAAAACAGGGTGAGGCACAAACTGTTTTATCGTTTTCATGTGAACTGTTTTGACTGAATTGTTTTGACTTAATGACCAATCAGGGTCCAGCTATGTCAGGACTCTGGAGAGAGTCATGAGTTTTTCATTAGTATCTTTTAAACCTTCTGTAAGTATCCTTTCTCTGTTCTTTAGTATAGTATTCTTTAATATGATTTAATATCATTAAATAATAAATTAGCCCTCTAAGAACATGGAATCAGAGTCATCATTCCTTCCTCCTCCAGTGGGGGACCCTGAAAACACCACACACAGGAGCTCAGGTGTGGGATGTCTGCCTCAGGTTTGGCTCACGTTTGGGATGCGTGGCTCAAGTGTGGGATGTTTGGCTCAGGTTGGAGGTGTTTGGCTCAGGTTTGGCTCATGTTTGGCTCATGCTGGGCTCAGGTTTGGAATGTCTGGCCCTGGTTTGGGGTGTCTGGCTCAGGCTTGGCTGATGTTTGGGATGTCCGGCTCAGGTGTGGGATGCCTGGCTCAGGTTTGGGGTGTCTGGCTCAGGTTTGGCTGATGTTTGGGGTGTCCATCTCAGGTCTGGCTGATGTTGGGGATGGCTATCTCAGGTCTGGCTGATGTTGGGGTGTCTATCTCAGGTTTGGGGTGTCTATCTCAGTTTTGGCTGATGTTGGGGATGGCTATCTCAGGTTTGGGGTGTCCATCTCAGGTATGGGGTGTCCATCTCAGGTTTGGGGTGTCTATCTCAGGTATGGGGTGTCCATCTCAGGTTTGGGGTGTCCATCTCAGGTTTGGGGTGTCTATCTCAGGTTTAGGGTGGCTATCTCAGGTTTGGGATGTCCATCTCAGGCTGGGCTGATGTTTGGGATGTCTATCTCAGGTCTGGCTGATGTTGGGGATGGCTATCTCAGGTTTGGGGTGTCCATCTCAGGTTGGGCTGATGTTTGGGGTGTCAGGCTCAGGTCTGGCCGATTTTTGGGGTGTCTATCTCAGGTCTGGCTGATGTTTGGGGTGTCTATCTCAGGTTTGGGATGGCTATCTCAGGCTGGGCTGATGTTTGGGATGTCTGGCTCAGGTCTGGCTGATGTTGGGGATGGCTATCTCAGGTTTGGGGTGTCCATCTCAGGTTTGGGGTGTCTATCTCAGGTTTGGGGTGTCTGGCTCAGGTTTGGCTGATGTTGGGATGTCTGGCTCAGGTCTGGCTGATGTTTGGGATGGCTATCTCAGGTTTGGGGTGGCTATCTCAGGTTTGGGGTGTCTATCTCAGGTTTGGCTGATGTTTGGGGTGTCCATCTCAGGTTTGGGGTGTCTGTCTCAGGTTTTGGATGGCNCTTGGTGCTCTCAGCTTTTCCAGCCTCACTGATTCCATGGTTCATTAGTTCACTGCATCTCACAGGAAGAGGAGCCAACCACCGGATGATGGGGGGCAATGGAACCCCAAGGAAATGCCACAGCTGGGAGCACAGCTGGGACGGGCAGAGCTCCTTCCTGCCCCACCCTCCACACCTGAACTGCTCCCAACAGCCCCTCACGAGCTGTCAGAGCACTGACACAGTGCAGGAAAGGAGAATTCTCTCCATGAGCTGTCAGAGCACTGACAGACACAGACAGAAAGGAGAATTCTCTCCACACCAATGGAAACATTTAACTCCAGCACAGGCACAACCACCATGAGTGTAAGGGCCAAACAAACAGGAATTTCAGTTCCTTGGCTCTGATGGATGTCACTCCCTGTGGGCAGGCCCCCTACAACAACAAAACATCAAACAAACTGCACAAGTTCAGCCCTGCTCCTTCAGGGACTGCTTTGCCTCAGCACAGCAAAGTCAAAGTGCAACAACACAGCTGAACAGCACAACAGGAGAGCTGGAATTTCAGGATATTTGTTCCCAAGGAATGCTGTGAGCACCTACCTTTCGAAGAATGTCTTCTGCTAATGTGAGGAATGCCTTCTCAATGTTTATATTTGCTTTTGCACTAGTTTCAAAAAACCTAATACCGTGCTCCCTGGCAATCTGCAGCAAACAGAGAGAGGGAGGTTAGAGAGGCTGGGGACGTTCCAG